TGAGTTCGAGACCAGCCTGGTCTACAGAGTGAGTTCCAGGACAGCCAGGGCTGCACAGAGAAACCCTGTCTCGAAAAAACACAAAAAAGGCTGGTGAGATGGCTCAGTGGTTAAGAGCACTGACTACACTTCCAGAGGTCACGAGTTCAAATCCCAGCAACCACATGGTGGCTAACAACCATCTGTAATGATATCTGATGCCCTCTTGTGGGGTGTCTGAAGACAGCTACAGTGTACTTACATATAACAAATAAATAAAAATTAAAAAAAAAAAGAAAGTTAAAACTAAAAAAAAAAAAGAAAAACCACAAAAAAAAAGAAAGAAAAGAAAGAAAGAGAAAAACTTAAGCTCTATTCTCAATCAGGAACCCCCAGAGACACACTTGGGGGAGTCACTGGCTATTTTTGTCCTTCTTCCCAATGTTGCCACATTGAATAAATCTTTCTGCTTTTCATTGTTAATGTGGCTCCCTTTATCTACTTATTAAGGATGAATGGCTAAACCTAGTTTGTTGAGGAACAGGCTGTAACCCCAAATCTGGTACCATGATCTTCTTGTCCACAATTCACCACACTGGAACTGCTTCTCAGTCACTCAAACTGTTCTTCCCACCCACTCTGTGAGGAGTCTGCAAACAGCTGAATTCTCTTTCCAGTCTGCATGCTGGGTTCTAGCCAGCTGCCTCAGAGCCCAGCCTGCAGCACCTGCCGCGTGCCCTCCACGCCCCACCCAAAACTACTTAAAATATTATGAGATTGACTTTGTTGGTTTGTTTTGTGAAATTTTACAAAGCGTGAACTTCTGCAACTTGATTGGGTGGTTCTACTAAGTGCAAAATTTGTTATGTCAAAGTCATGTTGAAACAACAGGGTTGTACACACCTGCTAACACCCCCCCCCATGGAGTAGGAGATATGTTAAAATACAAACTGAAATAGCTTCAAATCTCCCCTAAACGGGCTGTAGAGATGGTTCATCAGGTTAAGAGTGCCTCTGGGGGCATCTGCACATACTCACATACACACTCAATTAAAAATAACATCTTAAAAAAACAAAAACCTCTCACAAGCAATGGAGTTATCAGTGTTTGGTTTAGGACCCTTGAACATAGACCTAAGGTGCATATTTTACACATCAGAGACGGCCTCTAGCTTCTTTTTTCTTCCCCCTCCCACCCTTCTCTCCCAGAGGTGAATTCCCTCGCCTCCTTCCTTTATGACAGTGAACTCTCCCACCTAAGAACAGCTTCCCAATAATCTAATCTAATCTAATTAGGCCTGAATTGGCTCATTTCACAGGTGGAGAAATAACCTATCACTCACCTTTAATCCCAGCACTCTGGAGGCAGAGGCAGGGTGATTTCTGAGTTCGAAGCCAGCCTGGTCTACAGAGTGAGTCCCAGGACATCCAGGGCAACACAGAGAAACTGTCTGGAAAAACCAAATAATCAAACCTCTCCTAAAACACTTTCCATCCTCCTTCCTGATGAGAACAGGGACATGATCACTCCTAGGTATGGTTGAAGAGAAGGATTTTACTGTAGATATGAGGGAGAGGACAGACAGAGGCATCTGGAAGAGTCCAAACTGAATACAGCCAACAGAATAGACCAGGCCATGAGAAGTGACAGGGTGGGGGAAAGCAGGAAAAGAGAGGGAAGAGAGGGCAAATGAATGAAGAGAACAAGAGAAGAACCAAGAGAACACATAGCCAAAATGGCAGAGTGTATACATACAGAAAACAGAAACTGGGGGAAGGGAGGCGAGCTCAGAGGCTGGAGAAGTTTGGGAGTTGGTGAGAAAAACCGACTCTTGCGTGGGCGGTTACAAAGGCTGGCAGCTGCAGCCATTTTAATATGTTAATAGGAACCACAGCCTTTTGTCCCAGGTTTCTTTGAAAGTTAACAATCTGTAGACCTAGGATGCAGTCCTTGAGGAGCCCTTGTTGGTGCTGCCCCCTTTTGGATTCTCTTCTTAGAACCCTTGAAGAGTCTCTGATGCAGCTCAAAAGGGCCCTTAATTCAGGCTCCAGGTCCAAAGGAGGGGCGTGGTAGAGTCTACAGACAGGAATTCACTAGGTCTTCTGAGGTTGGGGGAGGTTTCCCAGCACAAACCCGCAGCCAGACTCTGATTCCCTGGCAAGAGGAAGGGTAGGGGGTGGAGGTGTGGGGAGCAGGGTACAGAACCACCAAAACTTCTTTGACCCAAACTCCCTACCCAACCTGAGAAGCCCATTACCTAGGGATCCACAGACAGTGAGCCAGGCAGTGACTGTTAGTATCTGGGGGAGGGAAACTGCTGGAGGTATTGCAGCCCGGGCAGCAGCTGGATGCCCTTATATCCTTACACACCTTCTGGAAGAATAAGTGAGCCCGCATAGATTTAGGTCAGTTGAGCCTGATCCTTCACTTCTGGACTCAGTCCCTCCAGCATCCCCCTCCATTCAGTGAGAGCCACCCATTTGTCCTTGCAATAGCTATGGAGAGAAATCTGGCTTCCATGGAGACCTCTGGCTTTGCTGTCTCACATCCACATGGAGGAGCTGCTCAGTGGAAAGCGCGCTGCGTGCGTACACCGGATCAGAGGCTTTCCAACATCAGCATCCCTGTTCCACGGGCGCACCCTGCAGGACACAGTTGTTTATCCTCATTAATCAGAAAAGGGAAGTCAAAAGGCCACCCAAGCAAACCGGCTGATGCTGGCAGAATGCCTTCTCTGCAGCTATGAAGCTGAGGTACCCGTAGGGCTCAAAGAGTTGGAATGGGAGGGTGGAGGGTCCAGAGAGATGGCTCAGCAGTTAAGGGCACCACTGCCTGCTCTACCCGAGGACCTGGGTTCAATTCCCAGCACCCATATGGTAGCTCACGACTGTCTGTATCTCCTGTCCTGGGGCAGTAAGACCACCAATGGACATAAAATTAAAATAAATAATAATAAAAAAGATTTGGAATGAATGAGCTACAAGGTCATCATGAAAGATGTCATGGTGGGTAAGTGTCAAGCTGGGTAGGACCTGAGAGTGAGACTTTTCATGTTTTATCAACCTTTCACTTGGGCCAGTGCCACAGCTGGGCTTGTGTGTCCACACTTCATTTCTCTCTTTTTTTTTTTTTTTTTTTGGTTTTTCGAGACAGGGTTTCTCTGTGCAGCCCTGGCTGTCCTGGAACTCACTCTGTAGACTAGGCTGGTCTCAAACTCAGAAATCCGCCTGCCTCTGCCTCCCAAGTGCTGGGATTAAAGGCGAGCGCCACCACTGCCCGGCTCTCATTTCTCTTCTTGACCACCCCTTCCTTCCATACATTACATCCCGTACAGTGAGGCTTAGATCGCCCTCTAGTGGCCCCCAGAGTATAGCAACACCTGGAGTCTAGTCTGGCCAACTCAATGGAAACTGGTATTTAACTGTTCCTACACCACAAAGTTTAGGCTGGGGCCCAATCCCTCTGCATGCTTCCCTATTTCAGACACTCTCTTTATCTGTCTTGATGTGCTACTATGTCTTAGTCATCATCCCTTCTCATCCCTCTCTAAGCTAGTCTGCCTCTCTCTGTCTCTGTCTCTCTCTCTCTCCTGGTAGAATCCTTGAGAATAGGAAAGCTCACAGAAGACTATGGACTTCTATGTCTTCTACTCCTGAGTTTTCAGGGCTGGCAATAGTTTCCCAGTATCCGAAGCAAAGACCTTCTGGTGAAGTTATAGCAGGCCTGTGTCTGATTTCTTTGTATATGGCTTCCTGTTCAGACTCAGAAGACAGGCAGGTAAGATGCTGAATCTAGGAAAGATGACCTCCTAAAATGAACTTTAAATTCAAAGTGTAGAGGGCAAAAAGGCCTCATGCACACAGATAGGCACTGGAGAAGCCAGCAAAGTTAAACACACAGCTTCCCTGTTCACTGGTGCCCAGCTGCTCTTCCTGGGATGCCAGGAATGATGGAGTTATACAACTTGGTGATCCTTTGCTGTCTGATGAGACAGGCTCAGCCCATACCTACCCAAATTTACTTATCCTGGATGCTTTCCCTCTCAATCTTGAACATTGCTTTTAAAATCCATTCTGATGAGTGATGTCACCTGTGCTTCACAAAGGCCTAAGTGACTTCTACGTTATCTTAGGGCCAGGCCAATCTTGAGACTCCAGCAAACATATTTCCTTCAGCCATTCTCCTGTATCTTGAGCATTATTTATTTCTAAGTCAATAAGACACCATCTCACGGATGAAGCCACATGTACTTTGCAAAGAGCTTCAATGCAAGCATGTCTTAAATTGTCACACACTTGGGACTGAATTAAATTGTCATCTGAATATTTTTCCCCCAAGTTATGCTGTGCTTAAATATGGCCAAAGTAAAATTATTTTGGGGCCAGATTCTAAAAGTCTTAGTCTGGCACCTATGGTCAGAGCCATCAGGCAGAGGCAAGTCTCACTCTTACCTCACCCTGATCGGCTTTCCCTGCCTGCTATAAACCTGCGAGGGAATCAGTGCCACACGAAGGATGCTCAGACCTGGAAGCTGAGGAAGAGCCCTCAGAATCCAGCCAGGGTCACTTGCAGGCTTATCCTTTATCTCTAACCCCAGCTTTGGGGCAACATATTGCTGACTGGGCAGAAGCAGGATGAAGACAGGAGGCCAACTCCAACTCTGGGTCTGTTTCTTGGTCCCAGTGGAAAAATCGAGGACCAAAGTGTGAAGCGAAGGCAGAGGGATAATGTTGAGATCCCAGCAAGGCCCCAGTAAAGTTACAGACCAAGCACCCACCTCTACAGCACCTTCACACATCATGGCTCCCTCCCCTCATGCTCAGGGCAGGACAAGGAATCCTTACAGCATCCAGAATACTTTTATTGCCAAAATCGAGGTACAGCTTGCTCAGGGCCCCAAGTGGGGGTCCCACCACTCAGGTGAGGGATAGATGACAGGAATGTGCTTAACAAGGAAGTCCAGTGCCAGAAACGATATGGGAAGGCAGTGTGGTCCAACCTCCAGGTGGTTTTGAGACCCAACTTAAAAGCTGACCCAAGCTTATAGTCAGGTCCACTGTCCCTAAGGCAGGCCCAGATTCCCCATCCCTGCTGTCACACAGAGACCATGTGGCATCCCCCGGGGCAAACAAACAAACCCACCCTAGCTGAGACTCTAAGTCCCTAGCTCTCTTGGGAGCTCTTTCAAAGCTCTGGACTGTTTCCTGCAAACCAAAACCCATTCGGCTGCCTGGTGGTAGCAAGTGTTGGTCAGGAACTCTATCACCTCTCAACCCTGCGCCAGCCCAAGTAGATGGTAGAAAGACCCTACAGCAGGGTGCACCACGGTGGTGGAGTTCTTAAGGTGGCTCATGGGAAGCTGTAAGCAACCATGGTTGTTCCCTTGAGCTCACGTTCTTCTAGGAACCTTATGAGAAGGCATGACATTAGGCCCTGCTCCCCCTTAAACTATAGTCCCAGAACCAACAGAGCCAGCTTCAGTACTGGAATCTACGTCACGAGCAGGGAGATCAGGAATCCTAGGACATGGCCCCCCAGAACTGAGAGGTCCTCTGCTGTTCAGTCCAGAATGAGGATACTGCTAAATGAGAGGTAGGAACGGGCTGTAAAGAATCCAACCTGGAGGAACCAGAGAGAACACAACCAACTGCCCTGCCTGCAGGGGCTTACCCGATTGCCCCCAGGAGACCCCACACTCAGAATGTCTACCAGCGAGGTCACAGGGAAGCCAGCAGTTCTAGCCACCTATGGCCAGTGTAGTAGGCTACCTGAGGCCAGTGTGTGGGAAGGTCACCAGAGGATCTCTGTGGAACTTTTCATGGCAGGACATCAGCTCAGTAACTAACATCCCTCACGGGAAGGTTAGGGTCCAGTGAGCTAGAGTAGAAAGACCAGAGAGCTAAGAGGATTGCACGGCCCAAGTTAGAGACTGAGGTGGGTAAGGAGCCACACAATCCAGCCTCCAGAGCCGGCGTGAGGTTACAATTCACCAGCAGCAGCAGCGTTCTTTCCCTCAAATGTCCGAGTCCACACCCACTTCTTCCTTCTTCACTGCCATTCTACATAAGAAGGTTGAGAAATAGCATTCCCCGGAGGCAGATGCCTCCTAAGACTTAGGACCTTGAATGATGCTCACAAACTCTGCCAAGCTTGGAGACCACGAAAGAGTCAAGAGGCCAAGAGAAGCTCCGTGGTCCAGCCATCCAGCAGCCCTGCCTGGCGTAGGAAATCAAGGTTCCAGAAGCACACGCTTCAGATAAGCCAAGGTAGTGGCATTGGCCAACATCTCAATGTGTTCACTTCCTGGCAGCTCCTGCAATGATACTCTGTGCTCTTGGCGGCTCTGCCAGGCTTGGCACTGCAGGACACTCTCCAAGTTCACTGTGCCATCGCCATCGCCGAAGTAGATTTTGGGGTCACGATCAGGAAAGCTCTCATAGTAGAAAGAGTTTGGCGTGGGAACACCAGTCCCATACAAACAGTGCAGCTCCACACCAGGAGGCGTCAGGGCTTCGACCAGTCCTTCTGTGTCCTGCCTCATGAACCAGCCATCTTCAAAGCCGATGTCCTGGAAGAACCGGTGATAGTCCCGGAGTGTGTAGTTAGTTGTGGGTGTGTACACAAATACCTTTTCATGTGACCACGTGTGGTTGTATGGCAGTAGCCAGCTGGTGGAGACAGCAGATCGCTGCTGTTCCCGGATCTTCAGTGGCCCAATGACAGGGATGCGATTGTTGTCTCCTGGAAGCAGAAAGCTCTTATCAGCCTGCACTCAGGAAGGAGCTTCAACCAACCCAACCAATGGCTCAGTCAATAATCATAACCTTAGACCGCTAGTTAACATCACATTCCCACCTACATACCACTGGCTTTTATTTCCTTTTCTTTCTTTCTGTATGTGGAAAACATACATCTTCATTTCCTCACCAGAGATTCAGAGAGCACTCCCACCTCCCCCCTCAAGTTATTGTGTTTGCTCATCTGTGAAGGGTACCCTCTGCTAAGTGTGCATCATCATGCCTGTGGGCACAAGTTGTGTACTCGGCGAAGCTTCAAGTCAATAGGCCAGCTGTTTTGTTGTTGTTGCTGTGGTTTGTTTCACCACATTGAACGCTGCACACGCCTTTCTCAGGCCCAGAAGGCCAGGCTTGCTGGAAGCAAGGCAATGGGGTAGGGAGCTACCGCGGGAGTCAGCTCTTCCCATTACCCAGTGAGATTTCTGGGGGCGAGGCAACTCAGACAGGGGCTACTCACTGGTTCAAATACCATCATCACCCATTATCCAACACTGTCTCAAAGCAGGGTGGTATCTCTCGCTGACCCCAGGGCCTCAGCTTTGCCTGCTACCACTAGAACCCTTGGGGCAAAGGAAACTCCTAGGAGTGCATGGATTTCCATCTCTTCCACCCCTGGAGTTCCAGAGATGAAAGCAGTTTCTGACATCTGAGGCAAAGATTTAAGAGGTTTCACAGGGAGGCTTTGAGACAGCCAATGCCTGAATCCTTCCCATGTCTCCCTGTCCCATTCTGAAGGTACCCTCATCTCTTCCTGTGAGCCCAGGAATGGAAAAGCAAATGGCTGTGGTGAATCCTCCCCATATCTAAACATCTGAGCCACCAAGCCATGAAGTCATTGTCCTCTTGACTCAGGATCACGGGAGATTATGAACCTGACCTGGTCGTAACGATCAGATGAGCAAGCGGGTCAGGCAGTACCAGTGATGGCAGAAAGATAGCTAGGGATTCTTGAGATGGTCCTAGTAAGTAAGGGATCCCAAGGGCTACCACTTAGTCATGGTGGAGGAGGGTATGGTAGCCTCTTTCTGCACCAGGAGGCCCCCTGCCTCATGGCTGCAGATGATAGCTCCTTCAGTCATAAATACATAAGTCAGTTGGAGAAGGCCCAAGAGAAGATTGACTTTCCCAGCTACCAAGCAAACACCAGCCAGATCACCACCTACTGTCTCCCTGAACTGCCCACAGAGGCAGGTGAAACTCAAACAGAATACTGTAGTCAGCCTTCCTCCTGTGAGGCAAAGTGGGAACGACTGAGAAAGGTTTGAGAAGGGGACCCATTAAATCAAGTTCTGCCAGTCAGGTATACAGTACTGTGTGTTTGTCCGTGTGTATGAGAAAGCATTCTGGGAACAGGCATCCATGAGGGGCCAGGGAGGTCTTACCTGAGGCCAGGACACGCAGGGTCTTGGCCACGCCCCCCCAGGGTGCACCCAGTGAGACGAAGGCATGGATATACTTGTCCTTCCAGGCCTGTGGTTGCCGCTGCAGAAAGTAGAGCACGTACATGTTGCCCATGCTGTGGGCGACCAGCACCACGGGGCCCCCATACATCTGGTACATCTCCTCGATCATCTCTCGGAGGGCCAAGAAGTAGGGCCCATTTTCATCTGCAGGCCAGAGCCAAGCAGGGGTCAGGCAGGAAGTGTCCTGGGACCTGAACCACTCACTAATCTACAGAGCAGAGCCAGGACTAGGGGGTGCAGAGAGTACTGGAAACAAAGCAGGAGCAGACTAGTTCCTACAAGGTTCATAAAGAGAGGACAAAGTGACCCTTCCCCCCACCCCACCCCCACCCCCAGGCTTAGCCTCTGTTCCTGCCAAGACTCAGAGGCCCAGAAATCCTAGAATGAATAACAGGGAAAGACAAGGAAGGACTGATCAGAGCTGGTGGCGGTGCCCACTGCACTGGAAGCCAGAGACTCAGATGGAGAGAGAGCCCAAGGACGATTAGTGGCCAAGACAATCTTATGCCTGCCTCCCAATCCCTAGAGAATGGAACAGGGTGGGAGTGGGGTGATTCCTTACTTGGGGCTCGGCGCCAATCGTAGGGAGCACCTCGGACGTCTTCACCCCGTGTGTAGCCCCAGCCCACAAGGCTCTCTACCATAGTGTAGAAATAGGAACCTACGGACAGAATGCATAGTTACATAAAATATAACCACCGTTAGCTACCCACGCCACACCCACAGAGACAATGACATCTGTCTCCCTGAAGGAGTGGAAAAGGAATTTGCGTCCACTAATCAAAGATAGCTCGCAGGCCACCCCTTCAAAGCAATGTGGTACTTCCCATATTCTAGAGGCCCATCGGAACCTAGAGCCCCCAGCCACATACCTTGGAGGCCCTGAGCAAGACCTACATACCCACATTCCTTTTGCTGGGGTCTAGGAATTCCATAGAAAATGTTTCCCCAAAGCCAGGGACACGCACATCTACACCGTCAGGGAACTGAGTGGCCCGAGATGTTCTGTTGTAAACCAATCTGTCAGGAGAAGATAGTGAGTGAGTAACTCACTGGTACTGCTAAGCTCAATATGTCTCAATACTGCCCTGCGACCTTAGCCATCATACCCTGGTCTCACGCCCTGATTTGGTCTGAGGTCTAAAGGAGATTTTTTAAAAGGTAACAAAGCGGGCTTATAAAACACAGATCAATGCCGTACATGGACCTGAGAGGTAGAGTTGGGAAGATCAGGCAGTCGAGGATATCCTCTAAGGATTTACATATAAATTTAAGGCTAGCCTGGGCTATAAAATAAATTTAAGGCTAGCCTGGGCTATAAAAGATATAAAAGACCAGCAAATCAACAAGCAAAGAAAAACCCAAACAGTAAAGAGGATCAGAATAACAAAATCCAAACGAGAAGGCTTACTCCAGAGACTAATGGGGTGGAGAGCCCCAAAGCAAATTCCCTTCTCCAGGTGTCCCCTCACCTAGAATTAGGGCCTTGGACTAGGCAGAAGGAAGCACCAGTTATAGCCACATCGACAACGTCATTCTTGTTTTTTGGGTTTTTTTTTTTTTTTTTTTTTTTTGGTTTTTTGAGACAGGGTTTCTCTGTGTAGCCTGGCTGTCCTGGAACTCACTCTGTAGACCAGGCTGGCCTTGAACTCAGAAATCCGCCTGCCTCTGCCTCCCAAGTGCTGGGATTAAAGGCATGTGCCACCACCGCCAGGCCGACAACGTCATTCTTGATCCCAGGAGGCAGCCTACTCTTGCTGGTGCCTTCCATCCCTCCTAACACATCACAAAGCAGACAGTGAGTTTAAGCACACAGCAGGTATGGCCACCTCAGGACCTGAGCACCTATGGTTCCTATACAGATGGGTGGACAAGGCCCGGAGGAATGATGGGAGCAGGTGGGGGAGAGACAGGAGGAAACCTGTATTGTAGACCCGGACGGATCCAGATGGATCCCTCTTGCTCTGGACACCGGGCACTCCCCCAAGGTGTGCCACTCAAAGAGAAGGGGAATGGACCATACCACATGACCCGTTCAGAACTCCAAGGAGAGATGACCTGCCAGCAGCCGCAACATCTAGGGTGTGGCCACCAATTCCTAAATGCAGAGATAGGGACTGCCCTCTTAGCAGTCCTTCGTGACTGTTCTGCTGCTGCATCACACTACCAAAGAACTGGCAGTTACTAATTCAAGATTTTATCATTGCATAGCTTCTGTGGTTGCCATAAAAAACAGAACCAAACTCAGAGCAGTCAGTATATGGCTGCTCGATTCTCAGTCCTCAGGCCAGGTGTCTGCAAGGCTTGTAGAAGTAATCGGAAACACCAGAGGCAAATATGCCCAAGAAAAGCTGAATCCTAGTGGTCCTGAATCCTACCATCATTAAAGATCAATTACCAAAAGGCTTAGAGAGAGAGGGCTCAAGTGGTTAAGAGCACTTGTTGCTGTTTCGGAGGATACAGAGTTCACGTCCCAGTACCCACATTCACACCATCTGTAACTCCAGTTCTAGAGGATTCTTCCACCTCTTTTGGCCTCCACAGGCACTCTACACACCTGGCACACAAGCATATAAGAAGCCAGAAAATCCATACATATTAAATGGTGGTGCATGCTTTAATCCCAGCATTCAGGAAGCATAGACAGCTAGATCTCTGTGAGTTCAAGGCCAGCCTGGTATACAGAACAAGTTCCAGGACAGCCACAGCTACACAGAGAAACCCTGTCTCAAAAAACAAACAAACAAACAAACCTCAGTGATAACCCCTAACATTGATCTTGTGATAGGGCCTGAGGCTACTCTCAGTAGATATCAGCAAAGTGCAAAAAACGGTTGTGAAAAGCCAAGGCAGCTTTGTGCAGGATGAAAATCTAAACAGGCCAAAGGAGCAATGAAGACAAAGGCTCCTGTCAGCATCAGCCTTAGCCTCCACTGGCAGCACCTGAGGCCATGTGTCTCCGAGACAGAAATAGAAATGTAAATCAACAGCCCAGGAATAGCTGCAACCACACACCAAACAGAGCCAACAAAGAAGGCGGCATAAACAACAGAACGGACTGGGTGCCCAGGCGACCAGCTAGCAGGTCTCTGGGAAAAAATTTAATTGATGAAATTCTAATCAGCACAAACATTTGCCAGCACCAAGTATATTCTTCAATTTGGATTAGCTGTTAAGAGCACTTGTTGCTTTTACAGAGGACCCAGGTTCAATTCCCAGCACCCATACGGTAGCTTACAATCATCTGTCACTCCCAGTCCTGCGGATCTGGTACGTTCTTCTCACTTTCATTGGCTCCCAGTACACACTTACATATACTCAAGCAAAACACTCATACACATAAAATCATAAAATAAATCTAGAAACAAACAAACAACAAAGAAATAGAAACATAGTCTCTGCCTTTAGAGACTTCTGTCTGCAAGGGGAACTTTAGAATATCACACTCAGGAGGGAGAGGCAGGAGGATCACTCTCTGAGTTTGAGGCCAGCCTAGTCCACAAAAAATGGCCAAAGAAATCCTGTCTTGAAAAACAAAAACAAACAAACAAACAGATAAAAAAAAAAGACTAATACAGCCGGGCGGTGGTGGCACATGCCTTTAATCCCAGCACTTGGGAGGCAAAGGCAGGCAGATTTCTGAGTTCGAGGCCAGCCTGGTCTACAGAGTGAGTTCCAGGACAGCCAGGGCTACACAGAGAAACCCTGTCTCGAAAAACCAAAAAATAGAAAAAGAAAGAATAATACAGTTTTTGAGTTTGAATTCTGATTCGGTGTTTTATCAGTGGAATGAAATAGCTGCAGTCAATTTTATAAATTTCTTGAGCTTCCATCTTTCTTTATCAATAAAGTAAGTTTGTCAATAAAGTATTTTGCTTTGTTGTGGTTTTAAGGATCAAACTCAGAGCTTTTGTTTTGTTTTGTTGTCGTTCTTTTGTTTTTTCGAGACAGGGTTTCTCTGTGTAACCCTGGCTGTCCACCGCCCAGCTTCAAATTCGGAGCCTTAAGTAGGTGATTGTCACACAAGCGATTTATCACTGAGCCACACTCCCATTTCCTGTAAAGCATGTTTAATAACAATGCCAGTTCCAGAGAGTGCCTCAGGACTAAATTAAATTAATCATTTGGCAAGTTCATTATGGGGCAGACCTCAAGAGCATTCCAGTACAAATCTAGATAGTGTAGGTCTTTCATTCAAGCGTTCTCCTGAGGCAATCAAGAAACTCATACACATGAGAAGACTGATAAATCGTGCCCTTGATCCCAAGCACTCAAGAGGCAGATACATGATTGTCAGCTCCAGCCTGGGCTACACAGGAAATTGGAGGCCAACCCAAGCTACACAATAAGATCCTGTCTCAAATCCCTTTTTTAAAATTTAACTGTATGAGTATGAATTTTTGCCTGCATGTATACACGTGCAGCGCATGCATGCCTGATACCTACAGAGGTCAAAAGAGGGCATTGGATCCCTTGGAACTGAATTGAAGTCATGACAGTTATGAGACACCAAGTAACTGCTGGGACTCAAACTCAGGTCCCCTGCTAGAGAAGCAGGTGATTTAATCTACTGGGCCACCTTACTAGCTCCTTCTGTGGTGTTGTTTTGTTGGTCCTTGTTGTTGTTAAGATTTCAGTGCTAAGCAGCAGTGGTGCACATCCTTAGTCCCAGCACCCAGAAGGCAGAAGCGGGTGGATCTTTGTGAATTCTAGGCCAGCCAAAGCTATACAGAGAAACCCTCTCTATAGAGAGAGAAAGAGGGGGGAGGGGAAGTGTTCTGGTACAACAAACTTTTGCTTTATTTAGTTTTAAAAGAGGGTCTTGCTACATAGCCCAGATGTTGGAGTGGGTGTGGCCTTGTTGGAGGAAGTGTGTCACTGTGGGCATGGGCTTTAAGACCCTCATTCTAGCTGCCTGGAAGCCAGTCTTCTCCTAGCTGTCTTTGGAACAAGAGGTGGAACTCTCTGCTCCTCCTGCACCATGCCTGCCTGGACACTGCCATGCTCCCATCTTGATGATAATGGACTGCACCTCAGAACCTATAAGCTAGCCCCAATTAAATATTGTCCTTATGAGTTGCCTTGGTCATGGTGTCTCTTCACAGAAATGGAAACCCTAACTACGACACTGATCAAAGTGCTGAGCAAAAGGGACTGCAGAATGAAGAGCCCTAAATGGGATGTCTACCATCAGCACCGCCCAAGGCTCAGGAAACATCATGGAAGAGGGAGAAGAAAGATCTAAGATGAGGAAGATGGGAAGAAGTGCTGTCTTCTGGACATCACAAGGACACTGCACACATGAACTCATGGCAATTATAGCCGCCTGAATAAGATCACACCAACACCAACAAAGTCAGTGAACATTCCAGCAGGCAGAACTAAAGTGATATACATATATATATACATATACATATATATATATACACATATACATATACATATACATATATATATATGCAAGAAAAGAAAAGAAAGATGGGGCCAGTGAGTTGGCTCAGTGGACAAAGGTACTTGCTGACAAACCTGAGACCTGAGTTCAGTCCCTGAGAACATGGTGCAGGTAGAGAACTAACACCTCAGGTTGTCCTGTCACCTATATAATTGTGCTATAGCATGTGCATTCATCCCTAAATAAATAAATGTAATTTTCTAAAATTATTTTTTTTTAAAGGAGAAAACACATGGGCTGGAGAGACTGCTCATCAGTTAAGAGAGCTGGCTGCTCTTCCCAAGGACCCAAGTTCAATTTCAAGTACTCTTGTGTTCAATCATAATAACTAGTAACTACAGTTAAAGGGGACCCTGGACCCCCCCTGGTCTTTGCAGGCACCAAGCATGTGCATTGAAGCAAAACACACATACACATAAAATAAATTAATAAAATAATTCTAAAGGAAAAGCAGATCACCACCACTGGTTGCTCTTGCAGAGCAGCCCGGTTCTGTCCCTAGTGCCCATACATGGCAGCTAACAATCACCTGTAACTCCAGTTCCAAAGGATCCAACACCTCCTGGTTTTCTTGGGCAATGCATACATATGGCACCAACATACATAATGGCAAAACACCCATACACATAAAATAAAAATAAACAAACCTTAAACAAAAGAGAGAAGAGAACATGAAGGAAGGAGATGAAAGTCTTTGGAGGGAGCTGGATATGATCACGATACAGTGTATAAGCTGGGTGTAGCAGAGCAGGTCTTTAGTCCCAGCACTTGGGAAGTAAGCATAGGGGTGTTTCTGAGTTGGAGGCCACCCTGTTCTACACAGGGAGTTCCAGAACAACCAGAGATATGTAGTGAGATATGTTGGTTTTTCTGTTTTGAAAAAAAACAAAAACAAACAAAAAGATATATTGTAGAGTAATGTAGGATATGACACCCTCTGATGGCTTCTGTGGCACTATACACATGGGGCACAGACATACATACAGGCTCACTCAACACCCATAAACATAAAATTAAAAGTAAAAAACTTCACAGGGCATTGGTGGTGCACGCCTTTAATCCTAGCACTTGGGAGGCAGAGGCAGGTGGATTTCTGAGCTAGAGGCCAGCCTGGTCTACAGAGTGAGTTCCAGGACAGCCAGGGCTACACAGAGAAACCCTGCCTCAAAAACAACAACAACAAAAAAAAGTAAAAAATTTCAAAAGGGACAAGAGAGATGGCTGTCTTGCAGAGTTCCCAGTTCAACTCCCAGCATCAACATGGTAGCTCATAACTATCTATAACTTCAGTTCTAGATTGATGCCTTCCTCTGCCCACTGCAGGCATGAATGCAGTATACGTATGCACAAACAGGCAAATATCATATGTATGAAGTAAACTTTAAAAATATAAAAATTATTTTTAAATGATAATATATATACATACATATATACATATACATATACATATACATATATATATATATGAAACTGTCAAAAAATAAACGTTTTTTTTTTTAAAAATCACTTGTCGGGCAGGTAATGACACATGCCTTTAATCTCAGCACTCAGAAGGTAGTAGCAGGCCAATCTCTATGAGTTTGAGGCCAGCCTGGTCTATAGAGTGAGTTCTAGGACGGCCAGGGCTTCACAGAGCAAACCAACCAAACAAAAAACTCAACAAGGCCACTAAAACCTCTGTCATCCAACTAAAATGCTTACTTCCTAGCCCTCGTAACTGAATCCTCTGAACACCACTGATCTGTTTGTACCTAAAGGAAATTAATTCATCTGTCTATGTTTGTTTTTTAAAAGTAAGAAAATTCAACTTAGAAAAAAAATCTCCTATATTGAATTTGGTAAAACACGGTTCCTTGCCAATAAAATCTGTTAACAGTGAGGGGCCAGCAAAGGCCAGTATTTTTGGCTTTGTTTTGATTTTTTTTTGACTTTTTTTTTAATATATGTGAGTGTTTACATGTGTGGTACCCAAAGAAGCCAAAAGAGGGGAACAGATCCCCTGGGACTGAAGTTACGAACAGTTGTGAACTACCTTGTGGGTGCCAAGAACCAGCCTTCTAGGGCAATGGTTCTCAGTCTGGGTCGAAACCACTTTGGGGTTGCATATCAGATATTCTGCATATTAGATATTTACAATGATTCATAAACAGTAGCAAAACCACAGTTATGAAACAGCAATGAAATAAATTTGTGGTTGAGGGGATCACCATGACATGAGGAACTGTATTAAAGGGTCTCAGTGCGAGGAAGGTTAGGAACCACTGCTCTAGGGGTCTCTGTACGAGCAGCCTCTACCCTTAATCACTGAGTCAGATGAAGAGCAAGGCTTTAAAGAGAGAATGGGAGGGGATTTATCAGTAAAGGCCATAAATCAGACCCCCTGTGTCCGAATGTTAATATGCAAAAATGTAGACATATTACAGAAAGAACAACCAGCTGGAGAGGCAGGTTTAGCCAGGACCCAAAGAAGAAGGTAAGCCGCTACGAGTCCATGAATAGGGATGGGGGAGGC